AGCTAAAGTAACGTGTAAAAGGAATAACTTCCCCAACACACAATAATTCTTATGTAGCTACCAAATTCCATATCCTAACCACAGAAGCTAAGGTCAATCTTACAGTTTAAAGCTTCCACTTCTGGCCTTGTGAGACAGTGAGAGACGAAAAGAGACCTCATATGCCTTTTAGTTCACTGGAATTGGAATTAATGTTGCATATAATTATATATCATGCATCTCAAGCATCTTTGATGATTCTGAATTAGTCTTCTTAGGTATTAAATTGTTGCTCTTTTTTGCTCAGCCCCTTTCAGTATTAACAAGTTTTTATTCTCCATGCCTTTTGCATCTTGGTGCTGCTTCCATTCCCTATATTTTTGCATTTTTAACATTCTCGCTCTATCAATGACTTAGGAAACAGCTTTAAGCTGACAATACAGTGTTAATAATCCAATACAGTCTAGCTAATGGCCATTATGTAATCCCAACACACTACCCAATTTCATTGGCGACAAGGCAGCATTGCAAATGATATGCCCAGCACGCTTCAATTCTCAGTTGCTAACTAAATTTGTCAATCCTGGACCAGCTTTCTTGCAATGTTCTTAAAAAGCTCAAACAAGTCCTTCAGGGATATCTCAGTGACAAAGTATAGGATCTCAGTCATTCTCAGTCCTTTTGCTGAAGTAAGTGGTTAAAGGTTGATTGCTACTTGAGCGAACGATGTTACAATAGAAACCTAGCCAGATCCTGGATTTATTATCTCCAGGTATAATTGTTCTAGATGAGCAATTCCCTTTAGCAAGAAAAGCACTATACATTTTTTTCAGCAAACAAAAACCTGAGGGCTAAGACATATATCAACAAGCATGGGAAAAAAAAAAAAAACATTGGAGTTTGTGCTTTGTGGCTGCTTTTAAAAGACATAGGAACTACTATAAAAAATCATCAAAAGCTTTAGATGGTAAGATTACTCCCAAACAATCAAGACTACAAAACCCTAATAGTTTATTAATTTTTTTGATGAATCATTAAAACAGCAAATTGAACCAACTGTTTTGAAAGCAGCAAGTATATGCAATATCCGAATGTACAACATATCCGAATGTACAACATTTATATATAATAAGAAAATCTGAATGTCTATCCCCAATTCCCAAAATTGTCTTATATTAGTGTAAAAACTCTTTTTCTTTATCCAAACATAATCTTTCACCATGCCACCTATATCCGAGAAAGGTTACAATTTTAATCAAAAGGCATTGTATTTTCCAACAACCATTCATTGCCGACCAAAAGTAGCCATTTCATCGGATGTGAACTCAGCACTTCATGCCAAAATACTTCATATCGATTCTAAGCCCCAAAAACACTCTGATTATTGTGCACCTATGCTTATGTCCTGAATTTCTGAAGCTTATGTGATTATCAAGTCAAACGCATATTAAGCATAATAAGCACTTATCAAATAGCGTGGAACATGAACAAAAATTAAAAGACTTGATTTGAACATACCGGCGAGTGAAATTGGTTGCGACGCCAACATAGGTTTTGATAGGGTGGTTAGTAGCAATGAGAGATAAAACACCACCAGGAGGCTGATTTGGAATTGGGCCTCAATTTGGGATTTGAATTTGAAACAAGGACGGCGATGATGGGGAAGAGAGTTTAGGTGAATTAGGATTAGCGATTGAACATTTAACAGAACGAAACGTCTGGACAAAGCTCTCATCATAGAGATCAGCCACCTTACCTTATACGGATAAGATATCCCGTTTCGCGAATAGAGAAACAGGGAAGTTGTTGTCCTTGATCTTGTAGTTCTTCCCCTGGTCGTTCATGTCCCTGATGTTCGAAAACGCATATTGGAAGAAATAACAGACGCAAGAAGGCCGTAATTAACCCCTGCGATGCATGGGGATGCGTGCATTTTCACACCAAAATAGGATAGTCATATGTAATTTACGCGATGCTCAGGATAATGGATCTGTGGCTTTAGTCGCAAATTGATATCTTTTCCCATAGCGGCGGCAGAAATGATTGGGTATATAGAGGGACTTTACTTACGCAAGGAAGGGAATTTTTTGTTTTTTTTTCAAGCTGATTATTTTTCAGATTGTACTGAAGGGATCAACCTGATTATTAAAAAATGTGATGCCAACTATCCCTGGATATTGTTGAGCAACCAGATCTTTTTTTTCCTCTGTAGTATAACAAATTGAGTTTAATTATGTACTTAGGATGATAATAAGGATGCTGAATATCTGGCTAAATTAGCTTACACTCTGAAAGTTAATTTTTGTCTCTTTAATTATCATCCATGTCTTAAGTTTGGTATGAAAGATGATGAAAGGAATAGGTTTTTTATTTTGTTTTTATTACTTGATGTGTTTTATTTATTTTGATTAGTATTGTAATTCAGTTTTGATTAAAAAAAGTATCAAATAATTCTTAAATTTCATTGTAGATTAAGGATTAAAATGAAATTATATTTTATAAAAATGACTAAAATATTCTTTAATTTTTTTTTGAACGAGACTTAGGGTCTATTTAGATAATTTTTTAAAAGCACATTCAAACCCTATTTAGGATATGCTTTTGCAAATTTCAACAAATAGTTAGATTCGCTAAATGTTCTTTTGTCAGATGTAAATTAAAAATCAAACACACACTTAAAATGAATATAATGTGTCATTTATAATAATTTTTTGAGTAATATTATAATTACTTTTTAGAACCATTAATTAATTTGGCATACTCGCTATCATATTAATGCTTCCATCCCTTATTTTTTTATTCACAAGACATATATTTTTATTTTTATGTCCAATGGTTGGTAAAAAACAAAAGTCCAATGAAATAAAGGTAAATATCCATATTCTTAGTTTCAAAAGCCAATTTATGCTAATAACATGTTATAAATATAAGTAATATGAAGAGTAGAGAAGAACAAAATAAGACAAGAAATGGGAGAGAAAAACAATGGAGGAGAATTTCTTATTTACTTTAATACATATGCTTTGAACATGGTTGCTATTTATAAGCTTTTAACATATTAAAGTCCTATCTTAATGTTACAACGATATAAAAAGGCATATAATAGTGTATTATATAGGCTTTGAAGGTTATATGGTATATATTAACTACAAAAAAACTCCTTTTAAGTCATTTATTAGGACATTAAGAATAAAGAAATCTTACCATAACATAACATTTATAATAATTACATATATTATTTATAATATATGAAATGAACTTGTTACAGTGGTAATTTGGTTTGCTATTTTAACATATATTCTTCTCCTATGCCGATTTGCAAACCACATACGCTTATGGACTTCAATGAAAAAGCAAGCATAAAGCTCAACTTTCTAAACTTTTTTTTTTAATCTAAGGGTGTGTTTGAATTTTAATTGAGTAAAATTAATTAGAAAAAAATTAATTAATATAATTAATTTTAATTATAATTAATTATGTCATGACATGAATGTTATTTTTAAAATTAATTTAATAAAATTAAAAATTTTTGAATATTTTAATCAAATTAATTTTAGTGGACACATTCCCATCAATGACAAGTTTTATATTATAAATATTGACAAAATTGTATGTAAGACAATTAATTTTTATCTATTTAACAACTATATATAATATAATAATTATTCATTAATATTTTAGTTAATTATTTAAAAAATATACAGACACTGGTTAACCATATAAATTTTAATATATTATATTATATATTAATAATTGAAAAGTAGTATATTTATTAAACAAATTAACATATATGCAACCTAGTGAAGACAAGGGTATATAGGGTACGTTGAAATTTCTGAGCACCAATTAATGCCCCAGCAGATATAAAAGAACCCGGGAAGCTAATGAAACTTTCTAAACTTTGAAATTCAGCTAAAAAAACCTCTCAAAGGCAACTAGAGTTAAAATATAAAAAATAATAATAATAAAACTTTTTAAAAATACATAATAATAATTTAATCTGTGTAAAATATTATAATTTTTTAAGTTTTTAAAAATTTTTCTATCATTAATAAATTTATATAAATTATTAAATTATATTTATTAAAAATAAATAATTTAAAAGTTTTGTTTAACTATTTACAACTTTCCTTCTTATATTTGTAACAATGCAACAATAAATAAAAAATTTAACATGTAAAATTGTGATTTGCTGTTGCATTATTGTAAATATAAAAAAAAGTTATGAATATTTAAACAAAACTTATGAATCATTTATTTGTAATAAAAGCAATTTATATAAATATCTAAATTACCTTGGTTAAAAATAAATAATTTATAAATTTTATTTAAACATTCACAATTTTTTTATGTTCATAACTTTATTTACATATATCATATGAAAAGTTCTTACTCCAGTTTCTAACTCTAACTCATTGTATAAATTTTAAGTTTCTTGTGTTCATGAAAAAAATAAATTATACAATAAAGAATTTTTTAAATCTTAAAATTATATTGATTTTAGTCCATTTTTAAAATCAATATAATTATTTTAAAGTTTATTAAAATTACACAATTGTTTAATTGGGAAAAGTACTACACATCTCTTTAAAAGGAAGAATAAATAACATGATCCTTTCTTGAATTTATTTTTGAAATTATGAAATTGTTATTTCTTAAAAAATACTCAAGCTTCTAAAAAAAATAGAGAGGAGATCAATATAATTTAACAAAATTTCAACAATTTGTATCATTTCCTTTTATTTTGGGAACAGATTCAAATATACTGGAAAATAAGAAGTCTGCATAAATCTAAGTAAATGAAATATTGTAATAACATATTTTTTATTTTAGGTAAAATTTAAAGATAAAAATTGACGTAATTTCACATAAGAATAAAAATCGTAATGTTGGATTAGCTGTCAATTTCCAACATTTGTTAATCTTATAAAAAAAATCACTTGAATTTATCGATTATTTATTTATGTGGGGACTGGATCAGAGTCAACATTTTTTGTGTGGTTGCGAATGCTAGCCTGCAATTCATCAAATCCCTAGCAGAGTCAACGTTGGCCTTCGCGGCTTTTTCTTCTTCTGTTTTACTTCCTCCCTCAAATTTCTTCTCTGCCAAAAGAAGACACTCATCATCAACCATGGCTCTTGGATTAATTGGTGGTGCTATTCTGTCTTCTTTCCTCCAGGTGGCTTTTCAAAGTCTGGCTTCTCGTGAAGTGCTTGACTTCTTCCGAGGCAAGAGACTGGACGAGACGTTGCTGAATAAGCTGAACATCTGTTTCATATCTATCAACGCTGGGATTGATGATGCTGAGCAAAAGGAGATCACCAATCCAAACGTGAAAGCATGGCTTAATAAGGTCAAAGATGCTGTTTATGATGCTGAGGATGTCCTTGATGAAATTGACTACGAAGTGACGAAGCGCATGGTGGAAGCTGAATCCCAATCTAATACTATGACACGCAAGGTACGAAACCTCTTAACTGATTCTGCTGGTTCATTTGACAAGGAAATCCAATCAAGGATCAAACAAGTCCTTCACACCCTAGAATATCTGGAAAGTAAAAAAGACATACTAGGATTGAAAGAAGGCGGGGGTGCCAGTGGAGGATCAGTGAGAAAGTTTCCAACAACTTGCTTGGATGAAGCTGGAATTTATGGTAGAAATGGAGATACAGACGCTATCATTGATGACTGGTTGCTATCACAACAATATAATAGCAGTCAGCTTTCTATCCTTTCCATTGTGGGCATGGGAGGATTGGGTAAAACCACTCTTGCTCAAAGTATTTACAATGATGTGAGGGTGCAAGATGAATTTGAGCTCAAAGCATGGGTGTGTGTTTCTGATAACTTTGATGTCACCAGGGTGACTAGAGCAATTATTGAGGCAATAACTTTGTCTAATGATGATAGTAAAGATTTAAATGTACTACAAAATAAATTGAAGGGAATGTTGACACGAAAGAGATTCTGTAACACATCAAATTTTTTTTAATAATTTAACTCAATCATAGTTGGGTTACAGCCACCCAATACATTTTATATCAATAATTTCAATATAAAAATATTTTATAATTGGCTTCAACTCGTACAATATAACATTTCAGATAAATTTTTACCTCCCACATGCCGTTAGGCTAAATCACCTTTGTCCATCCTTATACTCCCAACAAGTAAACTAAATTACATTTGTCCATTCTTATACTCCCAACAAGTAAAATAAATAATTTAGTCAATTTTCAAAACAAGCCAGTTATTTGGCCTCATAATCATGTCATTTTAACAAATTCAAAGTAAACCAAATATTAAAATTACAGTCATCCAAATTGTACCAAAATAGAAATAGTTTGAAAGGCATGATTATACTTATATATTCATATAATTGTTAATAAACAAAAAGTCCTAATATTGGCAATATAACACATTATAAATCATAAATTAAATACCCAAAAGAGACAGTGGATCTATGCCACTAAGCCTCTGGGACTCCTCCACGTGTCACTCGTGGCTCTTCTCCTGAAAATTGTTAACCACATAATGAGAATCAAAAGTCCTAGTAACCAAAGCCAATTTATGATAGTATATACCAATAGTTAAATGTGTGCTTATTAAGTGAGAATTAAAAATAATATATTTATAACAAATATAAGAAATATTACAATACATACAAATAACCATCCTTATATCCCTCCATTAATCTCGAGCTGTAGCCCTCACTCGGTGCTAAATTACTCGACCAAAGGTAGATTAGCCCGAACCCTTACAAGCCACCTATTGAGCTCCAATAGGGGCGTACCACGTGTCACATAAATACAACAACAATAGCAAGTCTCCCAACACCTCTCACAATAATCAAACAAATTCATAATAATATTGCACAATTATACAATATTACAAAATTCATAATTTTATCAATAATCACCCAATTAACATGAAGTAACACTAATCACAAATTAAAAGCATGGTTACCTTGTGGCTTTTTCAATAAATTATTCCTTAAAATTTCTCTCCCACCACAATCTTCACCAATAATACAATTTACAAATAACATATTATTTATAAATATTAGTTTCAATTTTTGAAACTAATAAAATAATTCTAATAATAGAATTAAAAATATAACATAATTTCTAATCTCAATCTTAATACAAATCTAGAGTTAATATTATTAAGTAAAATTTTTAACTCCTCTTTTACTCATCAATAAACATTAATAATCTAAAAATTAACTTTTAAACTAATTTCTATTATCAAAATTTTCTTTTTATTTCATAAATTCTGTTGCTCACCGCAAGTGCACGGGTCGTAGCAAGTAATATAATGAAAGTAAAGTATCGTTCCCTCGAGGATTTGTTCAAAAACAATGATCAAGCAAAAGACTAAGTAAATTTGATCAAGTTGAGCTACACAAAGTTAGGTGAAATGGTTTTTCAAATGAAACTAACACTAGAAAATAAAGAAAAGTGAGTGATTCACAAACTTCTAACACAATTTAGGACCTAGGATTAATTGTCCCCCTTGCATTTCATAACACCAAAATTACCTCCTCTCATAAATGCTTTTAATGAAAATAAGTGCTAACCTAGGGTTCTAAAAATACTTGGACAAGCTCTCTCAAGTCATGAACAAGTTTTAGTTAAATTAATTGCCCAATCTCTTGTTACAATTAATAAAACTCAATTTTAAACACCAACCCTAATGTGGCTATGCAAGGCTAGCAAGTATATCTCTATCTTACTAGCAAAACCATCCATTCAACATGCAAATATCAAGTTCTTACACAATTTTACCCAAGTTCTACACTCAACCTAGCCTTCTCAAGCATCAATTAAGTGAATCCAACATCTAAATAGTGGCCAATCAAGTAGAAGCATTAAGGAAAGAGTAAAATAAACACATATATATCATTAATCACAAAAAGAGAGGAGAAATATAGTGTTAATCCATACAAGGGTTCCAAATAATCCTAGAACAAAAGATTTAGCTACTCATAATCATCCATAAGCTACAAATATACAAAATAAGTGGACCCATTTCAGATTATAAGAGAGGAAAGGGAAGAGGAATAGAAAAACCAAAGAAAATGAGCTCCACATGTCTTCAAAGCTTCAATCTCTTGATCCCAACTCTTCCAATGCCCAACCCTAGCACAACCAAGCTCCAAAAGTGTCAAAAAGTCTGAAGAATGCGTTCTGGGTCGAGCTCTCAGCTTATATGTGTCCTAACCAACTAATTTCTGATAAATGAAACGCAGCATTTTCTGACAGCAACGAAAGTCGCGAACGAAAGTCACGACTTTGAGACGACTTTGGCAGTTTTGCACTGTTTTTACAGCTAACAAAAATCATTCATTTTGCTCTTGATTTCTTCATCCAAAAGCCTTCCAAAAACATCCACAAAGCTCCAGAAATGCTTCTAATCAAAATAACATGAAATTAGGTGAAAAATATTAAATTAAAGCTAAAAACACAAGCCCAAAACAAAATGCACATTTTCCTAATTTGGGTAATAAAAACATATACAATTGAACCAAAATGAATTAGAATCTAAGGAAAATGTGATGAAATAACATGAACTTCTAGAGGTTAACAAATTCGCACCTAAAATACCCAAAAATTAAAAATTGAGTCTCAAGCTTAGAATCATAATCCTATAGCCATAATAATTCATTTCTCATCCCAAATAATCATCTAAACCTCAATAAATCAACATATATTTTTTAGATTTAATAAAAATCTAGTCTAAAATTTGATCCATAAGCCACAAATTTAAAGATCATCAATAAATTTATACTCTATAATATTTATTATACTACTAACAACCTCAAAAACTATATTTATTTAACATAAATTCATTCCTCTTCTAAATCCTAAATTTTCTACCACCATAAAATCAGAAACCAAAGAAGAAGGATGATTAAGAAAAAATTTTAGAACACTTACTTAGTCTTGAAAAACTTGAAATCACACCCTAAATATCCTATCAAAAACTCTTACCTTAAAAACTCAGATCTCCCACACCGGCGACTCACGCTCACTCTGCCTCAGCTCGCGCACAAAGGAAAGAATGAAAAAACGAAGAAAACAGGTGAGTTTTTATAAAAATTCAGTGGGTCACATATTTTTTTTATTATTTCTTTTTTCCTCTCTCTTCTTTCCTTTTTTTTTGTTTATTATTTTACATGTAATCATTACGCGGCCGCCGAAAGCAAACTTGTTCTTCTTCTTCTTCCTCCTTTTTTTTAATACCTTTCTTTTTTTTATAATAACAATAATTTAATAATATTTTTTTATTATTTTTTTAATTAATAATTTTTTTAATTTAGAATTATATCCTAAGTTAGATTTAATAATCATCTCCTACTAATTTATTTACCTTTAAATATTCTCCAAAATTTTTATTAACTCAAATTAATTATTAAAATTTAAATTGAGATGTTACAGTTTCTCCTTGTCTTGGATGATCTTTGGAACGAGAAATTTATTGAATGGGAGGCCTTACATACCCGTTTCAAATTTGGGGCTTCTAGAAGCAAAATTCTTGTAACATTGTTGCTTCAACTGTGCGCTCAACTAAAGTGCATTCACTTGTGTATTTAAATGAAGAAAATAGTTGGTTGTTGTTCAAAAAGTATGCTTTGCTTGATGGAGATGCCCCCTTTTCAAATCCTAATTTTGAAGCTATTGGCAAGAAAATTATTGAAAAATGTAAGGGGTTGCCTTTGGCGTTAAAGACAATTGGGAGCCTACTGTACACAAAGTCATCTATTGAGGAATGGAACGACATTTTGAAAAGTGAGGTATGGGAGGAGGGTACCAATATTCTTCCTCCTGTAGCTTTAAGATTAAGCTACCATCACCTTCCATCTCTTCTCAAGAGATGCTTTGCTTATTGTTTTGTATTTCCCAAAGATTATGAATTTAGCAAAGAACACCTTGTTGAGTTGTGGATGGCTGAGAATTTTTTTAGTGCACAACAAGGAAAAGAGTTAAAGGATGTAGCAGATAAGTTGTTTCATGATCTCTTAGCAAGATCGTTTTTTCAGCAAGCAAGTGGAGATAAAATGTCTTACATCATGCACAATCTTATTAATGATCTGGCAAAGAGTGTTTCTGGAGGCTTTTGTTTTATGTTGCAGGAAGGTAAAGCACGATACGCCTCGAAAGCTACTCGCCACTTTTCATACACAGAGAGCATTTGGGTGATTCTGCTAAAAAATTTGAACGCAATTTCAGGCACGATTCATGGTATAATAATCCTCCTTGGCTAGTGTCCAACAAAATGATGCAAAATTTGTTGTTCAAGTTCAAGTGCTTACGTGTCTTGTCTTTATCAGGCTATGCAAACATTATTGAATTGCCCAAGTCTATTGGCAATCTCAAACATCTATGTTATTTGAATATTTCAAAAACTCCAATATAATAAAAAGATTACCAGATTCAATCTGCTTACTTTACAACTTGCAAACATTAAGGTTGGAGTTTTGTAAGGATTTGGAAGAATTGCCAAATGATTTGCATAAGCTAATAATTTGCAACACCTTGATTTTCGTGAAACTAAGGTGAAAAATGTGCCAAAGAGAATGGGGGAATTGAAAAAACTTCAAGTTTTGTCATCATTTTATGTGGGTGAAGGTGATGAGACTGACAACAAGCAATTAGGAGATCTTGATCTTTGAAGGAGCATTGTCTATTTTAGATTTGCAAAATGTAGTGCATCCCACAGATTCCTTAGTGGCTAATTTGAAAGATAAGATACACCTTAAGGAGTTAGCATTGAGGTGGAGCATGAAGAATGAAGAATCTCACAAAGAAAGGGATGTGCTCGAGATTCTCCAACCTCCGCAGAACTTGGAAAAGTTATCAATTAGCAACTTTGAAGGTCTCAATTTTCCAAATTGGTTAACAAACAATACGTTATGCTTTATAGTGTCTTTAGAGTTGAGGCATTGCAAATATTGTTTATCCTTGCCATCACTGGGTCTCATGTCAACTCTCAAGTCAATCTCTGTTACAGGGCTTGATGGTGTTGTTGCTGTTGGTCCTGAATTTTATGGGAATAATTCTTGTACCGCTCCATTTGCATCCCTTGAGATCCTGAGATTTGAGGAAATGAAGGGATGGGAGGAATGGAATTGTGAAGATGTAGATAGTGCTTTCCCATGCCTGCACGAGTTTTATTTAGAAGGATGTTCCAAGTTGAGAGAGCTGCATATTCCGGCACAACTTCCTTTTTTAACAAAGCTAGTCATCGTTAATTGCGAGCAGCTTGTGGCTTCACTTTTGCAGGCTCCATCTATTCATGAATTGGTCCTTGAAAATGGCGGAAAGGTGCAGTTGGAATGCCTTCCATCAACTCTAAAAGTTTTACGCATCGGTGAACCCTTCACAGAATGCTTTTCAGTTGAAAAGTTTGAGAATATGATTGCGGATACTTGCCTAGAAGAATTGCGCATTTCTAACTGGGCTTCTCTGGAATTCCCATTGATGCATGGTCATAACTTTCTTCAAGAATTGCGGATAGAAAGTTGTGACTCCCTTAGCATGTTCCCGCTTGATTTATTCCCTAAGCTTCGGATGCTGCAATTAAGGGGATGTGGTAAGCTTGAAACTGTGTCAATTGTTGAGAAGCACAATAATCAACTCACTTCCCTTGCGTTTTTGGAAATCATTGATCGCCATAAATTTGCATCATTTCCAAAAGGAGGATTTTCTGCCCCCAAATTGGATCATTTTTTGGTTGAAGATCTAAAGAGTTTAAAATCATTTCCAGCGCATATGCACATCCTCTTTCCAGCGTTGGAAGTTCTACACATAACGGGCTGTCCACAAGTGGAATCATTTTCTGGGAGTGGTTTGCCAAGAAATCTGAAAGGTCTTGTTATCGGTAGTAGCCCGAAACTCACGGCCTCTCGAATGGAGTGGGGATTGCATAATCATACTTGCCTACAATGGTTGACCATTCAAGATGAAGCTGCTGAATGTCTCCCTGATGCAGACTTATTGCCATCTACTCTTACTGAACTTTATTTTAAGGACTGTTTAAATCTTAGAACTCTGGATTATAAAGGTCTTCGTTACTTGTCGACTTTGCGGAAGTTGCATCTGATTGGATGTGATAAACTCCAATGCTTCCCGAAGGAGGGTTTGCCCAGTTCCATCCATTCTCTACGTATTTGGGGAAGTGCAAAGCTTAAAAGGCAGTGCCAAAATCAGAAAGGTAGAGAGTGGTCAAAGATTGCTCACATCCCCATCATTGTTTTTGATGATGATGTACTCACTTGAATTGCTCAATCACAAGGGCCTTCTACGTCAAATTGGCTAGCCACTCATCAGGTATGATCCACACCTTTTGTATGATGCTTCTTCGAGCACATCCAATTTCTTTGAAAAACATTCAATTATCATGTAGTATCTTTGAAATTCATATAATCTATATAACCAACCCTATTTATTAAGATAAGGCTTCTTATTATTATTGTTATATCATGAAGCATCTTTGGAGTTCATGATTATAACAAAGGAGGTGCTTTCCTAATAATCAATGCCATGAATTTTTTTTTAAACAAAAAAAAAATGTAGTGAAAATAATTCACAACTCCAATAGCAGCAACAACAATAGTAGTAGCAACAAGCTTTTATCTTACTAGGTGGGGTCGACTACATAAATTGTAAGACGCCATTGTGCTCTATCATTTATCAAGCTTTTAGAAATATTATTAATTAAGAGATCGCGTTCAACAACTTTTAAAAGTGTTCTCTTAGACCTTCATCTATCTCTCTTAACAGGGCTTAAAGTTATATGTTTCACTTTTTTCACTGGTACCTCTCGTGGTCTTCTTCGTACATGTCCAAACCATTTCAAACTATTTTCTATCATTTTTTCTTCAATAAGTGCTACCTTCACTTTTTCGCGTACGTGCTCATTTCAAATTTTATCTTGACGTGTATGTCTGTACATTAATTGTAACATTCCATTTCTGCTACTCCAACTTTATACTCTTATTGTCTCGTTAAAGTCCAGCATTCACTATCATATAACATAGTCTCTTTGATAGCAATACAATAAAATTTTTCTTTAAGTTTATTAGGTACTTTATGGTCGCAAATAACTCCTTTAACTTTTTTCCAATTAAACCATCTAACTTGAATTCTATGTGAAATATCCTTATTGATTTTGCCATCATTTTGAATAATGGCTCCCAAATGTTTAAACTTTTTCACTTGAGGTATAATTTGATCTCTCAATTTTACTTTCAAATTACTGTCGACTAGTCTCTTACCAAATTTACAATATAAATATTCTGTCTTATTCCTACTCAGACGAAAACCTTTCAACTCCAATGTCCTCCTCCTTAACTCAAATTTACAATTAATCTATTTTCTTGTCTCTGCTATGAGAACTATATCATCTGCGAAGAGCATACATTTGACAATTTTCCCTTGAATATGTTCCGTCTAAATATTTAGGATCAAGTTAAATAGATAACGACTCAAAGATGATCCCTGATGTAGTCCAATCTTTATAGGAAAGTCCTTTGTTTGACCACTAGATGTTCTTATACTAGTTTTTACCTCCTCATACATATCTTGTACAACTTCAATATAAGCAATTCATACTCCCTTCTTTTTCAAGACTTTCCAAAGCACTTCTCTTAGTATACGGTCATAAGTTTTTTCTAAATTAATAAAAATCACATTTAAATTTTTATCTTTGCAACGATACTTTTTCATTAGTCCCCTTATTAAATAAATCGCCTCTGTAGTTAATCTATCTAGTATAAAATCAAATTGATTCTCAGAAATACTTGTCTCCAATCTCAACCTATGCTCAATTACTTTCTCACATAATTTCATTGTGTGGCTCATGAGTTTAATCCCTCTATAGTTAGTATAATTCTAAATATTCCCTTTATTTTTATAAATAGGAATTAATGTACTTCTCCTCCAGTCCAAACTGAAAATAAACTAGTCTTGTGAGTGAAATTTTGGAAGGATCTTATTGATTCCTGATAAATAATCCTACTATCTGAGATTTTGATGGGTTTTGCATTTGTCGTTAATAATTATATCCATAAATGCATGATTACTCATAATGACTTCCCATCACGTGACAAGATACTTCTTCCGGGCAGCAAATCCAACTTCTTTGAAAATGATTTAGACTGTTTCTCTTTGAACTTTGAATATTGTGGTCTCCTGAATTCATATGTTAGCTCAAGGTTCAAATACTTGTCATGACTCATGACGGATCTATCCGATCCCACCTTTATTATTGACATTTGAAGCAACTGTCTTCTGCTTGAGCTGCACTAGCATAATTATTTTCGATCCGAAATGTTGCATAGGATGATGCATTTCAAGATACTTGTGTTGCACTTGGCATTATTAGATCAGTGTCTCCCTACAAATGTGGTTCTGGACAACTAAGATTAAGGGAATAAGGTTTCATCATTCCTTACTACTTCAGCTCTTACCTCAAGGGTAGGTTCTTGATCTTTCTGCTAGTTGGTTATGGAATGTTGTATTTGTTATCTTGTTTTTTTTTTTAGATAAATATTTTGTTATATTGTTGAATGTGTTGAAATCTTATTTCTGTCGACAGTGATGGCGGCCCAGGTTTGTTGGCGCAGTGGAACCATTTAAAAGGAATCACTTGGCATAAAGGTGACTTTTAGTTTATATTCTCTTAATATAATTGTCTGCATATGTACCTTCGTATTTTATTATAGCATTTTCCATCCATAATAACTCATCTCAGTTATAAGAACGAAATGACAATGATTTGGGAAGATTGCTTATAACTTTGCTCAAATATTTATGATAAAATCCGAAAATGAGATTTTGAATTAAGATTTGTTAATCAGAATTCTTCTTTTCTTTAAACAGAAATAAAAGCTTGAAGCTTCAACAAAACTGAAATGTCTTAAGGAAAACAAGACAAAATCTATAGGTAACTCTATTCTATTTGTCTCCTTCTTAACCTATTATTAGCTTTCAGTTTTAGTCAAACTTGAACTTACTGCCTTACTTGAAGGACTGAACTTTGCATAAGAATTTGATAAAAATCATAAAATTTTTACAGTTGTTCATCACCTTGGGAGTCATTATAAATGTTATATATATATATATATATATATTAGCATTCTCATCGAAATCTTACTCTAAGCGGACTTATCATACACTCATATTTTCCGTCTCCAGATTTCAACCATATTATGAGTCTTAAACCAATTGGTTGTCAATTACTTTCCATATTGGCGGCAGAAGAAATGTCCATCCAACCCTCTCTAATTGTATCTATCATATCAAGGTAATGTCCTACTTACACCAGTATGTGGTAAAGGTATATTCCCATGATCCTATCCATGTTACAATCATGTACCTAAGAATAGGATAACAAGTTAAAATGTGATGGGAATTTGTTAGTCACTTTTTTGTCATATACACGATTAGAAAGTGGCATGTCAGAAGACTCTGTGAGGCTTGCTTTCCAAAAGGCAATCTCTCACACAAATGTTATTCAAAGGCCATCCAGCACCTGAATAAAGTGACTACCAGCTTCAACATGTCTAATTATGATTCACAAACACTACAGTTGAGGGACTTTGTATTTTTTTTGTTTTTTGTGGGAAAAGACTGTAAAAAATTCCCTCTTGTTCACCCATATATAAAATTATATGTTTATCATATAAGATATACGGGAATGTCCATTCACTGATTTTTACTTGAAATCTTTGGAGAACCGTCAGATTCTTGGAGAAATATTTGGGGAGCTTGACAATGGGGAGAACAAGAGCAAGGTACAACCCAACGTCTTTGGACACAACCTCAGTCACCTTTTCTTCCATTGACGAGCTCTCATAAATGGTGAACATCAGAAACTCTTCTGACATAGATCTCAGAATGTTAAGACAGAGATGTTTTACTATTTCTCTTTTTCTTGAGACTCCATTGCTTTTTGCAAGGAAGGTCTATTCATTTCACCTTTTTCTCTTCACGTCTGGAGGTGTAATCCTTTGCTCATTGATCCTGATATGGGAGCAGAGGAGAAGGAATCCCAGCTTACTGATTGGTGATGATCAGAGTCACAAACCATCAGAGATGGGAACTAATTCTGAATTGCCAAGCAAAGTACTAGGTATCTTCTTCAGCATGTGTAATTAGAAGTTCCTTCTTTGGTTCTTGATGCTTCGATTTGCTCTCATTTGATAATTTGATAATCTTCCTTGATGTAATTAGCTAAGATCGAAGAGTATGCTGGAGCATTGCAATAGATAAACTACTGTAAGGAACTGCAAGGAATTGCTTAACTTAAAGGTGACTTATTTTTTCTTACCTGAACATATATTTTTCACTTTTTGTATGCGTCATTGTACATTGGTTCATAAATATATTTTATCAAACATCAACAAAGGCTGATACTCGAAACACATGGCATACATTTTTCCTTACTTATGTTAAACTCTTAATACTCATTCTTGCTACTGGGGATGCCAACTTTATTTATTATTTTTTTCTTATGCGTTTTACAGGCTCACTTACCCTCTCTTTTTGCTGCACAAAAGTACAGGAGACTAAAATTTTCCTCAAGGACCCAAATTCTACTCTCTTCCCTGAAATTTGATTCCCAAGGAACCAAATTGCTACCAACCAAACCAAGGAATTTTCTCTTTCCTCTTCCTTCTCCTTTTCTCAAACCCAAATTCCAGTGAACCAAATAGGACCTAAGATAAAATAGCAGTATGTGTTTTCTTAGTCGTCATTTATTCAAGCATGTAATTACAGGTCAATATATTTCTCGGTAAAAAACGAAACACCAGAGGAGATAGGGCAGAACATGAGTGCAAACCTAATATGCTCTGAAGGAAAATAGATTACTGATGAAAGTGGAATCCGAGCCTCCAAATGGTCCTTTATGGGGATGAAATACCAAAATTGGTTTGAAGGAAAATGAAATCCTGTTTTTACATGAGAGAGCCAAGCCACCCCACTGGACTGCCTAGATATAAAATCCCATCAAGCAATGAAGCTGACAAAGCGCATCCTGAGCTGCTAAAATCCATCTTTTTACTGAATCTTGACAATCCTGGAGAATGGAGATTGTGCTATTTTGGTACAACATGCTAAAATTACATTCCTGTCCATGTTAATACTATTGTTGTGTACAGTGTACCCTAGGATAACTATTTACAATATGTTTGAGATTCCATTAGCCACTTCTATGCTGTCACATACAAAATTAGAAAATGGCATGTTGAAAGCTTTCACGGGACTATCTTTCTTGAAAGGCAATCTTTTACATGTATGATGTTCGAAAGACCGAAAAACAAATTTCCTCCTCCTTCACACATAAAAGAACTTGATATATAAAAAACTTAGTATATAAGGTTTAGTAAAATGTTTGTTTAGGCCTTATTAGTAGAGCTGTCAATTAAGACCAAGCCTGTCGGGTCAGCCCTTTTAAGCTCAAAAATAACTAAAGCCAGACTGCTATTTTAAAAAGAAAAATGATAATTCGGGCTTAAAAGGGCCAACCCTTTAAGGCTAGGGCCAACCCTTTTAAGCCCTTTTATTATTTTTTTAAAAAAATTATAATATAAAAAAATAAAAAATTAAATATATAATTCAAAGAAATAAACATATTAAACGCATTTATCTATCCCTCATTTATTTATTAAGATTTAACTGATTATGTTAGTTAAGTCTAATTTTTATTGATATTAATTTTGATATTGCTATTTGATATTAAACCTTAATGTTTAAATTTTTTTTATTGTTGTGGTGTAAATTAATTTAAATTTATTTTTTTAAAACTTAATTTTATGTATAATAATTTTTTATGGTTATAAATATATTTTTTATAATTTTAAATTAAAAAAAATTAAAAAATAGGGTTGAGGCCCTGAGGACTAAGGTTGGGCCTTATAAAAAGAAACCCTGATATATAATCGAGTTTATTAGGCTAGCCCCTTTAGGTCTTGGCTCTTTAAGGGCTGGCCCTAATTGACAGCTCTACTTGTTAGATTAATAACAAAAGTTAATCATTTTTCATTGCACGAACATTTGAGATGTAAAATATTAAACATATTCTAATAATCATTAGTTAAATTAAGTATTTTTATTATTAATTATTAGCAATTAGTCCCTCCAATCCTTTTTAGAATTACTTCTATTTAACTCACCAAAACCAAAGTGGATTAGTTAAAATAATAAAATGGTCTTAAAAATAATTACTTTTCAATTTTGTCTCTATATTTAAAAAAAGAGCGACTTGACATCAGGGAAGATTTTTCTTGAAAATTAAAATATTGCACTTCTTTTAAAAATTTATTGAAAAATATTTTTAAAATTATAAATCAAAGATTAAAAAACATTGTAAAATGTGATTTATTAAAAAAGACCAAAGGAGTAAGTGAATTTTTGAACACGGTGTAATTTAATGAATAAATTATATCTATTTAAAATAAAGAATATATTGCATAATATTTTTTTAAAAAATTCATTTTTAAAATATATTCAAGGTTATAAAGAGGAAAAATATAATTTAATTATATTCCAACAATTTTGCTCATTAATTTTTGATGCTGGGAACAAACTTATATATACAAGGAAAGATAAAAATCTGCACAGTTTATATAAATAAAAATCGTATAAAATATATATACTTCATCTGTTCAAATTGTAAGGTATTTTTAATCGAATTTCACCCTCCAATAAAGTAATTATCCACTTTCAAATTAACTCTATCTTTTCATATTTACCCCTATCAAACACCTTATAATAAATATAAAGTCACTAATAATTACACCTCAAAAAATTAAAAATACCTTACATTTTTAAACATTCAACTTCTTAAAAAATACCTTACGTTTTTGCATTTTTTGAATGGAGGGAGTATAAAATTTGAAAATTAATGTAATTTTAAAAAGATTAAAAGTCATCATGCTGAAATGGATTTCAAGTTCTGCCCTTTCCTTCTTTTCTCATTTTCTGTTTTTCCCCCTTTTGTTGAAATATACAATTATGGTCTCTCTCTCAAGTGACGAAAATTACCTTTTAGTGTCACACTGTCACCTTAAAAAAAGGGGGTGATCATTGGGGCAGCAAGTGGGAAAGATGCTGTCTATGATGCTGAGGATGTCCTTGATGAGATTGACTACGAAGAGACAAAGCGCACGACGGAAGCTGAATCCCAATCTGGTATTGTCACACGCAAGGTACGAAACTTCTTCACTGGTTCTTCCAGTTCATTATAAGGAAATCGAATCAAGGATCAAACAAGTCCTTCACAACTTAGATTATCTTAAAAGTCAAAAGGATTGAAAGAAGGCGGAGGGGCCGCCGTAGGATCAGTGAGAAAGTTTCCAACAACATTTTTGGTGGATGAAGCTGGAATTTATGGTAGAAATAAAGACAAAGACATGATCATTGATGAGTGGTTGCTCTCAGAAAGTGATATTAGCAATCAGCTATCTATCCTTTCCATAGTGGGAATGGGAGGGCTGGGTAAGACCACTCTTTCGCAGTATATTTACAATGATAAGAGGGTGCAAGATGTATTAAAGCTGAAAGGCCGGGCGTGTGTTTCTGATGACTTTAATGTAACAAGGCTGACTGGAGCAATCATTGAGGCAATAACTTTGTATAATAATGATAGTAAAGATTTAAATGCATTACAAAATAAATTGAAGGGACTATTGACCGGAATGAGATTCTTTCTGGTTTTGAATGACCTTTGGAAAGAAAATTTTATTGAATGGGAGGCCGCCCCTTTTAAATTTGGGACTTCTGAAAGCAAAATTCTAATAACCACCTGTAGTTACATTATTACTTCAACTATGCGTTCAACTAAAATACATTCATTGATGTATTTAAAAGATGGAGATGGCTGGTTGTTGTTAAAAAAATAAAATTCTAGTAATTACTGTTTTGTCATACTATTTATTTTATTTGAAAGTTTTGTTTTATTTTAAGAAGTTCCAACAATTATGTCAGAATTGTTCTTAAGAATAATGTCTTGGGATGACAGAGTAAATTTCTTACAAGATATGCCAACACAAAAGACCAAAAAAAATTCTGTTCTACACCCACATATAAACTTAATATTTAGAAACTTTAGCCGAATGATAAAATAAAAAAAGAAAAAGAAAATTTAGGTAGTCATTTTTCATTGCATAACATTTGAGGTGTAAAATATCTATCATATTCTCATAATCGTTCATTATAATAACTATTTTTATTTTAATTATTGGCAATTTAGTGAATTTTTTAGCACTGCCTAATTTAATGAATACATTTATACGCATGCATCTCTTTAAAATAAATATTAAATTGTATAATATTTTGTTTTAATTTATGAAAATTTTTATTTTTAAAATACACTCAAGCTTCTGGAAAAATAAAAAGGAACAAGTATGATTTAACAAAATTTCAACAATTTGAGCCATTAATTTTTCATTCCTAGAACATCATTTAAATACATCTGGCAAGATAAAAATCTTCATAATTTATATTAATAAAAAAATGTATAAACTATTTTTAAAATAAAATTATATAATATTTAAAAATAATATATTTTAATAACAATAAAAGTCATCAGGTCGGAATGGATTTCAAGTTCTATGCTTTTCCTTTCGTTCTTTTCTCATTTTCTGTTTCTTTTTTCTTTGCTGAAATATATAATTTTTTTTTTCACTTTCAAGTGATGAAAATTTTAAGGAATTAGAAAATTACCTTTTATTTTTTGTCACCTTCAAAAGTATTTGCCTTTTCTTCTTCTGCTATTGCTCCCTCTCTCAAATTTCATCCCTGCGAGTAAATTATAAATCATTTTTTTTTCATGAACAGAAGTATGTTTTTATTGAGATTTTGATTCATAGCATTTTTCAGTTTTGTAGGTTGGAATCAGAAAAATAAAAAAAAAAAAGAGAACAATACATATTTTCATGTGAAAATTTTGACCGTGCTTTCATGGGACCCGTGGTTTAAATTAAATTTGGACTGTCTGTGTATCTATTAAAAATAAGGAATAAATTACCCACAGTTGGGTCCAGTAATAAAAAGCATTAATCCTCCACAGGTTTAAATTCTCATTATATTTAATGCCCAGTTATGCTTTGAATATAATTGATTTCAATGAAAAAATGCTTATGAGTAATTTTTTTTAAAAAAAAGAATAAATTGTATAGTATTTTCTTGAAAAATATACTCAAGCTTCTCTCAAACAATAGAGAGAAAAAAAAATACCTCCGATTCTGCTCTTCATAGGGATCTATTCCAGTTTGCTGATATTGGTCTTGTTGACTCTTCTCGGATTCATCTCAAATGCAAGCTTCCTCTGTTTTGCTACAACGAAACAGACCGCTGGTTTCGCAGGGTTTCTGCCAAAAAAATCTCGCAGGGTTCCATGAAACTACCGAGGACCTTTAAAGATTTGCAGCAGCTTAGAGTCTTTAGAGGTCCAAAATGATGTGTTGCTTTGTTGTTTTCTTTTTCCTTCTCATAGTGTCTTCTGTATGGTCTTGGGTTATGTCATTTCTCATCATGCAATGTTTCCACAACTGCCATGGCTGCTTGAGTTCAAGCTATGGCACTCAAAATCCTACGGGAGGCAAACTTATAATTCAATACTTAGTTATCGTTTCATTTTCTTACTCGCCAAGCTTCAAACTGATGATGAACTAGTTTTCAAACTAATTCCACAAGAAATTTATGCGAGTGTTTCTTTTCAGCATCTGCATGTTCAGATAATGTATGGCTTGGGCCTTTTGGTCTTTATCTTCTTGAGTTATTTCTCGAGTCTTTTTGTTTCTGCTGGTAGTTTTTGTTCTGTTGAGTCTGTATGTCTAGTTTTCGTTTTTGTCGAGTTTGTTCGCAGCTTTTGTTGTTTCTCCTTCCGTTTTGTTTGGGCCTCTAAGAGTCGTTCCTGCGTTGTAATCTTTTTATGTTTTAATAATAACTGTCTTTATTCCAAAAAAAAAAAAAAAAAAAGAGGAGAGATATAATTTAACAAAATTCCAACGATTTGATTCATCAATTTTTCATGCTGGGAACATATTTAGATATATCTTGATTAATAACAAAAGTCATCATGTTAAAATAGATTTCAAGTTGCATCCTTTCCTGCTTTTCTCATTTTCTGTTTCTTTTTTCTTTGCTGAAATAAACATCCAATTCTTTACTACTTTCAAGTGACAAAAATTCTTAGGAATTAGAAAATTACCTTTCAATTTCACTTTAAAAAATGGAATGATCACTGGGGGCAGCGAGGGGGGAAAGGCGGAGACTTTGGAGAGGAGCAGAGTCAAATCAAGGTCTTCGTCAATGTCGTCTTGTGAATTTGCTAAGCTGGCCTCCATCACATTGGGTCGGTCAAGTAAGTAGCAGCGGCCCTTCGAAGCCACTTTCACCGCACATTGGCCGCCTTGCCTTCCTTTTCTTCGCCTGCTATATCACTTCCTCTCTCAAATTTCTTCTCTGTAAAATCATCCATGGCTCTTGAAGCATTTGGTGGTTCTATTCTCTCTTCTTTCCTCCAGGTGGCTCTTCAAAGGCTGGCTTCCCGTGAAGTGCTTGACTTCTTCCGAGGCAGGAAACTAGACGAGACGTTGCTGAACAAGTTGAACATCTGTTTGTTATCCATGAATGCATTGATTGATGATGCAGAGCAAAAGGAGATCACCAATCCAAATGTGAAAGCTTGGCTTGATATGGTCAAAGATGCTGTTCATGATGCTGAGGATGCCCTTGATGAGATCGACTACGAAGAGACGAAGCGCGTGGTGGAAGCTAAATCACAATCTGGTTCTGTCATACGCGAGGTACGAAACTTTTTCACTGGTTCTGCTAGTTCATTTGACAAGGAAATTGAATCAAGGATCAAACAAGTCCTTCACAACTTAGAATATCTTAAAAGTCAGATGGATATCCTAGGATTGAAAGAAGGAGGAGGTGCCGGTGTAGGATCAATGAGAAAGGTTCCAACAACTTGCTTGGTGGATGAAGCTAGAATTTATGGTAGAAATGAAGACAAAAATGAGATCATTGATGGCTGGTTGCTATCACAACAATATAATAGCAGTCAGCTTTCTATCTTTTCCATAGTGGGTATGGGAGGGTTGGGTAAAACCACTCTTGCTCAATGTATTTACAATGATGTGAGGGTGCAAGATCGATTTGAGCTCAAAGCATGGGTGTGTGTTTCTGATGACTTTGATGTCACAAGGGTGACTAGAGCAATTATTGAGGCAATAAGTTTCTGTAATGATAATAGTGAAAGTTTAAATGTACTACAAAATAAATTAAAAGGAATGTTGACTGGAAAGAGATTCTTTCTTGTTTTAGATGATCTTTGGAATGAAGAATTTAATGAATGGGAGGCCTTACAAACCCCTTTTAAATTTGGGGCTTCTGGAAGCAAAATTTTAGTAACCACCCGTACTAACAAAGTTGCTTCAACTATGCGCTCAACTAAAATATATTCACTGAAGTGTTTAAAAGAAGAAGATAGTTGGTTGTTGTTCAAAGAATATGCTCTGTCCAATGGAGATGCTCATTTTTCAAATGTTGATATTGAGGCAATTGGTAGAGAAATTATTAAAAAATGCAATGGGTTGCCTTTAGCGTTAAAGACAATTGGGAGCTTACTGCACACAAGGTCATCTATTGAGGAATGGAATGACATTTTGAGAAGTGAAATATGGGAAGAGGGTAAAGATATTATTCCCCCAGCTTTAAGATTGAGCTATCGTCACCTTCCTTCTCTTCTCAAGAGATGCTTTGCTTATTGTTTAATATTTCCCAAAGATCATGAATTTAGTAAAGAACATCTTGTTGAGCTGTGGATGGCTGAGAATTTTTTCACGAGACAACAAAAAAAAGACTTAAAGGATGTAGGAGATCAGCTGTTTCATGATCTTTTATCGAGATCATTTTTTCAAAAAGCAAGTGGAGATAAAACGTGCTATGTCATGCATGATCTTATTAATGATCTGGCAAAGAATGTTTCTGGAGAATTTTGTTTGAGGTTGCAGGATGCAAAAGCACAAAACGTCTTGAAAGTTACCCGCCACTTTTCATATATTAGAGAGCGTTGGGGTGATTCTACTGGAAAATTTGAAATTATATGCAATGCAGAGAAATTGCGCACTTTCATGCATGATTCGCGGCATGATCCCTTTTTGTTTGTGTCCAACAATATGATAAAAGATTTGTTGCTCAAATTTAGGTGCTTGCGTGTCTTAAATTTGTCAGGATATAGCAACATCATTAAATTGCCCAAGTCTATCGGCAAGCTTAAGCATCTACGTTATTTGGATCTTTCGAAAACCGGTATAAAAAGACTACCCGATTCAATATGCTCACTTTATAACTTGCAAACGCTGAAGTTGGGGTTTTGTGAGGGTTTGGAAGAATTGCCCAATGACTTGCACAAACTCATAAATTTGCGGCATCTTGATTTTCGTGAAACTACGGTGAAAAACATGCCGAAGAGAATGGGGGAGTTAAGAAATCTTCAAGTTTTATCATCATTTGTTGTGGGCGAATGTGAAGAGACGGACATCAAGCAATTAAGCGATCTTGATCTTGGAGGAGCATTGTCTATTTTAAATTTGCAAAATGCACTAGATCCTGAGGAATGCTTAACTGCCAATTTAAGAAATAAAAGACAGCTTGAGGAGTTAGCATTGGGTTGGAGCATGAAGAATGAAGAATCTCACCAAGAAAGGGATGTGCTGGAGAATCTCCAACCTCCCCAAAACTTGAAAAATCTATCAATTAGCAACTTTGAAGGTCCCAATTTTCCAAATTGGTTAACAGATAATACATTATCATATGTGGTGTCGATAGAGTTGATAAATTGCAAATATTGTTTATCCTTGCCATCACTGGGTCTATTGTCAACTCTCAAGTCACTCTCAATCATAGGTCTCGATAGTGTTGTGGTTGTTGGTCCTGAATTTTATGGGAATAATTCTTGTAAAACTTCATTTGCGTCTCTCGAGATCCTAAGATTTAAGGGAATGAAGGGATGGGAGGAGTGGAATTGTGAAGATGTAGATGGTGCTTTCCCATGTCTGCGTGAGTTTTCTTTAATAAGATGTCCCAAGTTGAAGGAGCAGCGCATTCCAGCACTGCTACCTTCTTTAATGAAGCTAGTCATCGTCGATTGCGAGCAGCTTGTGGATTCACTTTTGCGGGCTCCATCTGTTCATGAATTGGTACTACAAAGCTGTGGAAAGGTGCAATTGGAATGCCTTCCATCAACTCTAAAAGATCTTGCCATCAGGGAACCCTTCACAGAATGCTTTTCGGTTGAAACGTTTGAGAATATGGTTGCCCATACTTGCCTTGAAAGATTGATCACTTTAAATTTCGCTTCTCTGGGATTCCCATTGCCGCATGGTCATAATTTCCTTCAAGGAATACGGATACATGGCTGTGACTCCCTAAGGACCTTCCCGCTTGATTTATTCCCCAATCTTCAGGTACTAGAATTAATGCAATGTGGTAATCTTGAAACATTATCTGTTGGTGAGGGGCACGATCATCATATGAATTCCCTTGTGTCTTTGAAACTAATCGAGTGCCATAAATTTGAATCATTTCCAAAAGGAGGATTTTCGGCCCCCAAATTGGTTGAATTTCGTGTTGAAAGACTAGAGAGTTTAAAATCACTTCCAGAGCGCATGCACATCCTCTTTCCGGCGTTGTGTTTTATAAGGATAGAGGGCTGTACGCAAGTGGAATCATTTTCTGAGGGTGGTTTGCCAAGAAATCTGCAGGGTCTTGAAATCAGGAGTAGCCAGAAACTGATGGCATCTCGAAAGGAGTGGGGCTTGCATAATCATACTTTCCTACAAGCGTTGGCCATTCAAGATGAAGAAGCTGAATGTCTTCCTGAACCAGACTTGTTGCCACCTACTCTTACCACAATTTATTTTTACGATTGTTCAAATCTTGCAACTTTGGATTATAAGGGTCTTCACCACTTATTGGCTTTGCGGGAATTGCATCTGTTTGGGTGTCCTAAACTCAAATGCTTCCCAAAGAAGGGTTTGCCAAGTTCCATTCATACTTTGTTCGTTTGGGGAAGTCCGAAGCTTAAAAAGCGGTGCCAAAAGAAAAAAGGCAGAGAGTGGTCAAACATTGCTCACATCCCCCAAATTGCCTTCGATGGTGATGTACTAAGTTGAACTGCCCAATCACAAGGGCCTTCAACATCAAATTTGATGGCCTCTCATCAGGTACCAAGTTAGATTTTCTGCTTTTCCCTTTCTCCACTGCTCATCTCTTATGCACTCACATGCAACACCTTTTACAGAAATAAATAAACAAGGGAATAAAAGTAAAGCATCAAATCACAAGGGCCCTGGGTGTTGTTGTCCTTGGGAATCATGCCCTAGAGAAGAACCTCGTTGAAATATGGTTTGCTACAAATAATAATGAGTTGTATTATTTACAGTATTGTTTTTTTATAAATTTTACATTTTGCATTAAAGATACTTAATTGGAGTATAATTTCTATCTTGTGAATATTATTCTAATTTGAGAAATATGGTTTAATTTGTGTTTGGCCGCTGATTCTTGTCTTTTTTATTTATTATCCTTCCATGCATGTATTAATTCCGTAAGGATCCATATAATTTGTCATGTTTAAATACACATGATGTCATGTATTTACCAAATTTAGCATGTAGGAGATGCTATAGAATATGTATTCACAAGTCTTTAGTTGAAATCTTCGACAGCTGTCAGCTTTGAAGAGAAACATTTATGCATGACACTGTGAAGAGAAGGAGCAGCTGACGACCCATTTTCTTCAGACACAACATTAGTCACCTTTCTTTCCATTGACAAGCTCTCATAAATGGTCCAGTGAACAAACGAACTCTTTTGATATTATTCTTGGATTTGTGAACACAGAGACTCCGATGTTTTGCAAAGGAAGGTCTGCTTATTCCCAATTGTTCTCTTCACATTTCAGGGCTTCAGGCTATAATCTTTGGTTCATTGATCAAGAAGACATGGTAGCATAGGGGAAGGAATCCCATTCCTTGCTTACTGATAGATAGTGATTGGAGTCACAAATCATTAATGAGATGATCACCGACTCTAATTGCTTAACAACGTTTCTGGTACTTTCTCTGGCATAGGAATTTCAAATCCAAAACTTTGTGCATTACGTATTTGAATATTGCTTTTTTGGTTCTTGATGCTTCAATTTACCATGTCATTTTTGATAATTTGGATTATCACCTGTATAGAAATACAGGGGAATTCCCAGCTTAAAGGTGATTTCTCTTCTCTTACCTGAATTTCCATTTTTGCATATAGTACCATGTGTTGATTCATAATAATTTTGAATCCAAAAACATGTGGGCTGAAGACACATGACATACATTTTTGTTGAGCAAAGCCAGATTGCAATCTAGTTTTCTCTACTTTGGTTAAAATGTGTTAATATTTGATCCTGGTTTAGGAGATGTCAACTGAGTTTATGTTTTATTCTTATGCACTTTAAAAAGCCCACTTAGCTTCAGTTCATACTGTACCAAAAGCGCAAGAGACAAATGCAAAATAACAAAATATCTAACAAGTAATATTTTTGCAATAGGTCTATATTTATTGGTAAAATCTCAAAACCAAAGAATGTGCTCTGAAGAAAGAAAGATTTATGTCTAAAGGGTGGAAACCACAAGCCAACGATGAAACTACACTGCCTGGTTATGAAACTCAAAAGAAGGCCGTTGCAGCATGGCAAGAATGCAAAAGGTGGAAGCCAAGATCCAAAGCCATGAATGGTCTCAAAATATGAACACTAGAAGGTGAGAGAATTCATAGTTCTTCAACAACTGCATTATTCAATGACAATGCAAAATCTGCCCTTCTCTCACTTATTTCTCTCTCTCCTCTTCTGCACTAGTTTTGTTAAAAAATTGGTTTAATTTCCCCTCAACTTCTATACCTATCAAAGTTATGATCTGTTAAAGGATTGTGCCTATTTTGGGTTTGGGCTCATTTTTATAGCACGCTTGATGCTAACAAATCTTGTTCTTTCTATATAGCATGCATGACGCACGTAAGAATTACAGTGTGCTTGCTTGCTCGCTTTTCAAGGTTCTCCTTTGCAAGATTTTCTAGTGAATACACACACGCACACATTACATGATAATAAGTCATCATACAGATATGCTTATAAATCCTTTTCGAAGAAAAATGATAAAATCCCAAAGCCATGTCATTTGTTTTTGTGTCGAAGGTTTTGCTATACAAGCCACAGTAGCTTTTGATGCAGAAGAATTTATCCTTGTAGTCTTGTGTACATATAAATTCAACATGCTTGTCTTTCAATCTGGAAATTCTAATTGGGTTATTTATTCAAGAGATGGAACTTCTTGGAAGGTCTCAGATAAGGTGGCTTTTCACAATATTGTGTATATTATTTTAGTTGTCATGTATTCTCTGGCATGTAATCTTTTTTGCAGCAGGTCCATATATTTCTCTGCAAAAACAACACCAGAGGAGTTGGGGCAGAACATGAGTGCAGACCTAGTGTGCTCTAAAGGAAAATAGATTTCTGCTTAAAGCGAGGGATCCTAGACTCCAAATAGTCTTGTATGTGGATGGAATTAAATTCCAAAATTGATTTGAAAGAAAATGAAATCTTGTTTTTAAGTGAGAGTAAGCCACTCCATTGGACTGCCTAGCTATGAAATCCCATCAAGCATTGAAGATCAAGATAACAAAGTGCATTCAGGGCTGTTAAAATCCATCTTCTTACTGAATCTTGACAATCACAGAGATTGTGCTATTCTTGTACTGTCGTTCATTGGATACACTCATTTAGTGGTTAAACTTGTGAATAAGTCTTGTGAGCATCAACGTCCTTTCATTTTGTCTTTTGTTTTTCAAAAAAGAAAAAAGAGAAGAAGAAGAAGAAGAAGAAGAAGAAGAAGAAGAAGAAGAAGAGGTTGTATAGAAGCCCATGGCCTCCATGTTGCAAGATATTTACTGGGTTCTCAGCCAAAAAATTTGCCTTAAGCTTCGGTTGTGGAGTGTAATGGTTAGTTAATTTGTTGTACACGTGAATAATGGGTTAGTGTGCTTGAGTGCCTTCTTGATTGTATTTTGATTAATTACTCCTTTTTCAAAGTCTCTTTGTGCTTGAGATAATGTTAGATTCCAGTTTTGACTCTGAATGTTCTTACCTTACGTGCTTTTTAGCAGATTTATAGAGATTCAATAATTGTTTCCGGAGGGAAGGAAATGAAGCCATTATCATGATACAGTGACTTTAGCAAACTGATAAAAATAGTGATGGAGCTGCTTTCAATTCTTAATATATGTTGAGAAGGACTTTGTGTAAGAATCTTTTTATGAGGGTTGACATTATAGAGAAGTATGAAGAGGGGCAAACCTGACTGCTGCAAACATTCTCTCAAAGGGTCACATACCATCAGAGTTATTCTTCGAGACACAATCTAGTTTTGTGCTACATCTCCAAAACCTGAACAAGCTTAACTCTGAAGCTCGTTCTTATCCATATTGTTTTGATCTTCCAATAAAAGAAGACCTTCAAAACAGAGTTTTCTTTCATATCTTATGTCGGCAGGTCTCACTTTCTTTCTTTTTTTTTTTTTAATTTCATTATAGAAATGCTCGAATTTTATCTAGTTGGATAGTCAAAATAAAAAATATATACATCATTTTTTTATTATCATTATGTTTCTTTTTTTATTTCATAAAAATGCTCGAATTTAATCTAGTCATTTTTTTGTTCTTATGTGTTTTATAATGCCAATTTGCATCCTGTTTAATTATATTGTGCAAAATTAGAGCAAGGGGAGAAATGCCAAATTGCAATGCATATACATGTACGTACACATATTTTTTTTTTCTTGAGGTATTTTTAAAATTACATTTCTAGATAGACTTAACTAATTTTTTGCTTTTTGAAATGAACTTTTAAAAATATCTTAACAGATCTAAGAAATTATTTGTTAAAATAGTTTTTAAAAGTTATAACCGAACATACATTTAGTTTTTCATATATTGTAACAAGTAATCGTTTTGGAATAGGTTCATTATGATTATATTCATACCTTACTACTACCAAATGTAATCAATTCATTATCAGAGGAAATATGAAATCAAGAAATAGGTAGAAATCTCATATTTTTCACGTCCACATAAGTCATCAACGAGAGGCATAAACTATAATTGCTGTGAATCAAACAAATCACTTGCTGAGTCCAAAGTCTTAATAATTCAACTTCATTATAATAATAATAACTTCTCACCTGATAACATTTTTACTTTGGTTCTTATTATTTTAACTTTTTATTTTTCCAGTTATTCATGACATATGCTTGCACGCTGACATGCAGGCTTTGGTTTTATCTTTCCAATAATAATTTTTATTCAAACAATCACAACTTTATTTTATAAATTATAAAAATTAAATAAAAGATTATAACTTTTTAAGTGAAATTTTTTTATAATTAATAAACAAGTTTTAAAAATAATCAGTCTCAATTATAACTTTTATTATAAATAATCATAATTTTGATTATATAAATAGTAAAAATTGAATAAGAAATTATAACTTTATATATGAAATTTCTTTTATTATTAAAATTTAAGTTCTGATATAACCCAAAAAAAAGTTTAAGTTGCAAAAATAACCAATCACAACTTTATTTACGTAATTATAATTTTTATTACATGAATAGTAAAAGTTAGATAAAAAATTACAACTTTTCACATGAAATTTTTTTTTCTTATTGAAGTTCAAGTTTTTAAAATAATCAGTTATAACTTTTGTTTGAACAATCATAAGTTTTATTATGTAAATCACAAAAATTAAACAAGAAATCAATTCTTTCCACATGAACACGTTATTTTTTATTTTAAATAGAGGACAATTTTTTTATTTAATTTAAAATTATTAATGTAAAAAAGATATTCCTTCCATCCTAAATTATAAGACACTTTTAGATAAAATCTCATATATTAATAAATCTCATTAAATACATTTAACAACCTTATTTTTAAAAAATAAAAATATGAACTTTAAAAAATACTCATAATTTAATATATTGAAAAGAAAAGGGATAGAAATTAATTATAGAGAGAGAAAGGATAATATTAAAATTGATATATTTAATGAAACCTTAATCTATTCAAGTGTCTTATATTTTAAGACGGAGAAATTCCTTTAAAAGTGTTTTATAAGGTGAGACAGAGGGGTTACCTAAAAATTTTAGAAAAATTATAACAGAGATTTGACTGTGATTTATATATTTTTGTAAAATTTTATTATCATTTTTTTCCTATTATTCATAGCATATACCTGTACGCTGAAATGCAAAGGACAACTGTTTTTTTTTTTTTTTAACCAAAGAAAGGACAACTGTTCATGGACTTCAAAAATGCAAGCACAAAGCTCAACTTTCTATACTTTAAAGCTTCGTCAAGCGAACCAAACAAACTTGAAATATAATTTCAGCTTGTTTAGATAGGGTTTTGAATCGATTTTTTGGACCAAGATCAATCATTGAATGACAGCATAATTTCCTCGCAAATTGATTTTACCCCTCCAAATCGATTCTGCATCAGGCTACTCCCTCCTAGCTTTTAAAGATCGATTTTGTCCCACGAGTTGACGGATTTTGTCCCATCCCAAATATGCCCCTGCAGCCATTTCAAAATGAGCAATTAATGCCCTCTCTTTTACACGTTCATTCTCCATTTTTTACTCTATTTCTTCTTTTATAGTATTTATTTATAAATATGTTTGCTTTCAATGATTTTAATTATTCTTGCCTTGATCAAAATGTGTTTGAAAATTCTCACCATGTATTTTATTGTTATTCTATCATCCACTTTTCATCCGCATTTATTGTGTATTTTTCATTAACATATTAAATGGATCAATATTATATACTCTCTTTAATTTTATTTACAGAAATAAAATTATAAAATTATAAATAATTTAAATAAATTTAAATTTATATAATTAATCAAGTCTATGAGTTAAATATATATTTTATTTGTTAAATAAAGTTGAACAAATTTAATATTATATACAATTTTATTAATATTTTAATTTTCAAAAATAATGTCTTTTATGATAATTTATACATTTAAAATTAATTCTAACTAAAACATTCAAACATCTTTAATTATGTCAAATTAAATTTAAAAAAATAATATCCAAACATAATCACATTATAATATAATTAATTATAATTAAAATCAATTATATTTATTAATTTTTTATAATTAATTATACTCAATTAAAATTCAAACTCCCCGTTATGTAAATCAGAGAAATCCACTCGCTGCCTCACGAGCCCCGATAATTCAAACTTAATTAACAACTAGTAGTCGCCTAATCACGTGTTGGCATATTTTAAAGCATCTTTTTTTTTTTTTTGTTTTTATCAGCACTCTTCCTCAATATAACACATTTAACTAAATCATACTGTCGATAAATTAATTAATTATCACTAAAATTATATACTCTTTTAAAATTTATTCATATTAAATGGGATATTTTAATTAAAAAATTTTATTTATTACATCTATAATTAAAGATATTTTAAAAAATCTTATTAATTACATATTGAAAGAACTAAAATATCTTATAATTTTTAATATCTTATTTAAAAAAAATGTCTTTTATTTTGTAACCGAGAAAGTAGTTTTTTGCTTTTGAGATTTTGGTTCTTTCCCAATTTTCATTTCGGGGTCAAAATCAAAAAATACATATCCGGTTTGGTTATAGGTATCTTGGCTCATGAAAGGGTAATCGTGTCTCCATTTCTCTCTCATCTATGTCTGCTTGCTTGTAAGAGATATGGAATCGCATCTTTCAAGAATATGGATTACCATATTTTTAGAAATGAGGAAGCCTTTGAAAAATGAAAGAAATTATGTTACCCACCTTAAATTCAATATGTTTTTACAAAGATGTCCCTGTTAATCACACCACCTTTTTATTTTTAATTTTATTTGTATTTTCTCTTATAAAAATAATATAAATAAATTTTAAGGCCATGTTTGGTATGATGGAAGAGTTTTTAATGGAATCGGAATCGGAATCGGAATCGGAATTGGAATAGAATTAGATTTAAAAGTGTGTTTGGTATAATGATCGAATCCTGATATAATTTTAATAAAATATAAGTATTTAAAATAAGAAAAGACTAAAGTGTCCTTTTTAAAATTTAAAAAAATTATATTGGAGGAGAGAGAAGGGGCAAATTGGAGAAAAGGAACCATGAAATTGGATTCCATGATGCATATGATGGAATTGGATTCCATCAAATTTCCTTGAATCCTAATTCCAAAGAATCATAATTATTGCATACCAAACACACATGTTAACAGATTCCATGTCCAATTCCATTTCTTTCTCCATGATTCCAAACTACCAAACGGGGCCTAATTTCACATACTTAAATATTTTACCAAACAAATTTATAATCATGATTATTTCGTTCCTTTCCATTCTTCATCATTTCATTCTTTTCCATTACCTTCTTTTTCAGAAACCAAACGTGACCATACTCTATTTACATATGAAAAATTCGCACTATATATAATTTATATATATGTGCGCGCGCGCGCGCCAATGGTTACTTTCATTAAAATTCAAAACAGTGCAAGACTTTCATTACAAACAAAGCAAAAGTGCAAAACAGATCAAGATAACATTTAGCCAATGCCATCACCTGGTGCCTCAGCATCCAAACCTAGAGAAGAGAGTCCTCACCTCACTATATTAAGTTTCTAGTTTTCTTGACAGAATAAATTACATACACTAACGAATTTTTTTAATCTTGAAGTTAACATATCTTTAAAATTACACAACTGTTTATTTTGAAAAAGTACTAAACATATATTTAAAATAAAGAACAAAAAACATGATCCATTCTTGAATTTATTTTTATAATTTAAACAAAATTTCAACAATTTGTATAATTTAATTTTTATTTCGAACAAATTCAAATATATTTGGAAAATATAAAAAATCTGCATAATTTAAGTAAAAGAAAGATTGAATATAAAAATAGATATAATCTTAAAAAAGAATAACAATCGTGATGTTGGATTGGATTTCGATTTCCAACCTGCGCTCCTTTTCTCGCTAAAATTCTTAATGAGAACTATTCTTATTATTACTTATTAGCAATTAAGTGAATTTTTGAACACGTATAATTTAGTGAATAAGTTATATTATCTGGTGAAAATTAGGACATTTTTTTTAGATAAATTTTCTTATACCTGGAAAGATAAAAAGCTGCATATCCTATAAGCAAAAAAAATGTACAAACTATTTTTTATTTTAAATAAAAATTTGAAGATAATTTCTGTATGATAGTAAGAACCTAGCTAAATCAACTGCAATGAATGTTTTGTACAAGAGACATTATGAATTTATAAGAAGCAAATGAGGGGGGGCGTGACATAAATATCGAATGTAACATTTTACTAATTTTTACATTGACAAATTGCACGTAATATATTGCCTTGGCTAAATATTTGGCAGGGCAATTTAGTATTAGTGATTACTTTGACAAATAGCATTACATTTGTGCCTAAGCATGTTTGGGTGTATGAAAACAGCTTTGGCATCAGAATTTTTTGGAGCGTCGCGCAGAGAAGAAAATGCAAGTTTTGACAAGAATAAAAATCAATTCACGGAGGAAGAGGAGATGCTAGTTTTAACAAGATCACAATAGTCATGCTGTTGGAATGGAGTTTCCTTCATTCTTTTGTCATTTTCAGTTTCGTTTTTCTTTGCTAGAATATTCAATTCTTTTCTCACTTTCAAGTGATGAAAATTCGTAGGATCTAGAAAATCAGCTTTTATTGTCACTAAAAAAAATGAAAAGATCATCGGGGCAGCAAGTGGGAGGAGGCGACAGACGCCATTTTGGAAGTGGAGCAGAATCAAATAAAAGTCTCTGTCTCGTCGTGAATTTGCTAGCTGGGCATTCATCGCATTTGGTCAGTCACGTAACATATCTATGAAGCCCCCTTTACCACGCATTGGCCGCCTTGCCTTCCTTTTCTTCGTCTGCTGTATCACTTCCTCTCTCAAATTTCTTCTCTGCAAAATCATCCATGGCTCTTGAAGCAGTTGGTGGTGCTATTCTCTCTTCTTTCCTCCAAGTGGCTTTTGAAAGGCTGGCTTCCCGTGAAGTGCTTGACTTCTTCCAAGGCAGGAGACTGGACCAGACGTTGCTGAACAAGTTGAAGATCTGTATGTTATCCCTCGATGCTGTGATTGACGATGCAGAGCAAAAGGAGATCACCAATACAAATGTGAAAGCTTGGCTTGATATGGTCAAAGATGCTGTTTATGATGCTGAGGATGCCCTTGATGAGATCGACTACGAAAAAAAAAGCGTGCGGTGGAAGCTAAATCACAATCTGGTCCTGTGACACGCAAGGTACGAAACTTCTTATCTGGTTCTGCTAGTTTATTTGACAAGCAAATCGAATCAAGGATCAAACAAGTCCTTCACACCCTAGAATATCTTGAAAGTAAAAAGGATATACTAAGATTGAAAGAAGCCGGAGGTGCAAGTGTTGGACCAGTGAGAAAGGTTCCGACAACTTCTTTGGTGGATGAAACGAGAATTTATGGTAGAAATGAAGATAAAGAAGCGATCATTCATGAGTGGTTGCTATCAGAAAATGACAATAGCAATCAGTTATCCATCCTTTCCATAGTGGGTATGGGAGGGTTAGGTAAGACCACTCTTGCGCAGTATGTTTACAATGATGTGAGGGTGCAAGATGGATTTAAGCTCAAAGCATGGGTATGCGTTTCAGATGACTTTGATGTTACAAGGGTGACTAGAGCCATTATTGAGGCCATTACTTTGTCTAATGATGATAGTAAAGATCTAAATGTACTACAAAATAAATTGAAGGAGATGTAAACAGGAAAGAAATTCTTTCTTGTTTTGGACGACCTTTGGAATGAAAAATTTATTGAATGGGAGGCCTTACAAACTCCTTTCAAATTTGGGGCTTCTGGAAGCAAAATTTTAATAACCACCCGTAGTGACATTGTTTCTTCAACTGTGCGCTCAACTAAAACACATTCATTGATATATTTAAAAGAAGAAGATAGTTGGTTGTTGTTCAAAGAATATGCTCTGTCCAATGGAGATGCTCATTTTTCAAATGTTGATATTGAAGCGATTGGCAGAGAAATTATTAAAAAATGCAAGGGGTTGCCTTTAGCGTTAAAGACAGTTGGGAGCTTACTGCACACAAAGTCATCTATTGAGGAATGGAATGACATTTTGAGAAGTGAAATATGGGAGGAGGGTAAAGACATTATTACCTTGGCTTTAAGATTGAGCAATCATCACCTTCCTTCTCTTCTCAAGAGATGCTTTGCTTATTGTTCCATATTTCCCAAAGATTATGAATTTAGCAAAGAGCATCTCATTGAGTTGTGGATGGCTGAGAATTTTTTTAGTGCACAACAAAGAAAAGATTTAAAGGTTGTTGGAGATCAATTGTTTCATGATCTTTTATCAAGATCATTTTTTCAACAGTCAAGTGGAGACAAAACGTGTTACGTCATGCATGATCTTGTTCATGATCTGGCAAAGAATGCTTCTCGAGACTTTTGTTTTAGGTTGCAAGAAGCTAAAGCACAAAACGCCTTGAAAGTTACCCGCCACTTTTCATATATTCAAGAGAATTTTGGTGATTCTGCTAGAAAATTTGAAATTATATGCAATGCAGAGAAATTGCGCACTTTCATGCATGATTCGCATAATCCTTTTTTGTTTGTGTCCAACAATATGATACAAGATTTGTTGCTCAAATTTAGGTGCTTGCGTGTCTTAACTTTGTCAACATCATTAAATTGCCCAAGTCTATCGGCAAGCTTAAGCATCTACATTATTTGGATCTTTTGAAAATCGGTATAAAAAGACTACCCGATTCAATATGCTCACTTTATAACTTGCAAACGCTGAAGTTGGGATTTTATGAGGATTTGGAAGAATTGCCCAATGACTTGCACAAACTCGTAAATTTGCGGCATCTTGATTTTCGTGAAACTAAGCTGAAAAATATGCCAAAGAGAATGGGGGAGCTAAGAAATCTTCAATTTTTATCATCATTTTTTGTGGGCGAATGTGAAGAGACGGACATCAAGCAATTAGGCGATCTTGATCTTGGAGGAGCATTGTCCATTTTAGATTTGCAAAATGCAACAGATTCCAAGGACTGTTTAGTTGCCAATTTGAAAAATAAAAGACACCTTGAGGAGTTAGCATTTGGGTGGAGCATGAAGAATGAAGAATCTCACAAAGAAAGTGACGTGCTCGAGAATCTCCAACCTCCCCAAAACTTAAAAAAGTTGTCAGTTAGCAACTTCAAAGGTCCCAATTTTTCAAATTGGTTAACAGATAATACATTATCATTTATAGTGTCGTTAGAGTTGATGGATTGTAAATATTGTTCATCCTTGCCATCATTGGGTCTGTTGTCAACTCTCAAGTCACTCTCAATTATAGGCCTTGATAGTGTTATGGCCATTGTTCCTGAATTTTATGGGAATAATTCTTGTATGACTCCATTTGTATCCCTTGAGATCCTTAGATTTGAGGAAATGAAGGGATGGGAGGAATGGAATTGTGAAGATGTACATGGTTCTTTCCCATGTCTGCAAGAGTTTTATTTAAAAGGATGTCCCAAGTTGAGAGGGCTGCACATTCTAGCACGACTTCCTTCTTTAACATCGCTAATCATCTCTAATTGCAAGCAGCTGGTGGCTTCACTTTTGCGGGCTCCATCCGTTCATGAATTGATGCTATTAAACTGTGGAAAGGTGCAATTGGAATGCCTTCCGTCAACTCTGAAAGTTCTCCGCATCGGGGAACCCTTCACAGAATGCTTTTCGGTTGAAATGTTTGAGAATACGGTTGCCCACACTTGCCTTGAAAACTTGGTAATTGCAGATTGCTCTTCTTTGGAATTCCCATTGCCGCATGGTCATAATTTCCTTCAAAGAATATCGATATACAACTGTGACTCCCTAAGGACCTCCCCTCTTGATTTATTCCCCACGCTTAAGGTATTAGAATTATCTGTTGGTGAGGGGCAAGATCATCATCTAACTTCCCTTCTGTCTTTGGAACTGATCGAGTGCCATAAATTTGAATCATTTCCGAAAGGAGGAATTTCTGCCCCCAAATTGGACTACTTTCACGTAGAAGGACTACAGAGTTTAAAATCACTTCCAAAGCGCATGCACATCCTCTTTCCAGCATTGAAGTTTCTACATATATATGACTGCCCACAAGTGGAATCATTTTCTGAGGGGGGTTTGCCAAGGAATGTGAAGCTTCTTATTGTCACGGAAAGCCAGAAACTGGTGGTGTCTCGAAGGGAGTGGGCCTTGCATAATCATACTTGCCTACAATATTTGCGCATTCAAGATGAAGAAGCCGAGTGTCTTCCCGAACCAGACTTATTGCCACCTACTCTTACTGAACTTGCTATGGAGAAGTGTTTCAATCTTAAAACCCTGGATCACAATGGTCTTCGCCACTTGTCAGCTTTGCGGGAATTACATCTGTTAGTGTGTCCTAAACTCAAATGCTACCCAAAGGAGGGTTTGCCCACTTCCATTCAAACTCTGTTTGTTTTGATGATCTGTCCAAAGCTTAAAAAGCGGTGCCAAAAGAAAAAAGGCAGAGAGTGGTCAAAGATTGCTCACATCCCCCTCATTACTTTTGATGACAGTGTACTCACTTGAACTGCTGAATCACAAGGGTCTTCAACATCAAATTGGGCAGCCTCATCAGGTACGAATTAACATTTTTTGCTTTCCCCTCTCTCCGCCGCTCACCTACTATGCACCCACATGCAACCAATTTTACAGGAAAAAAATAAATAAATAAGGGAATAAAAGCGAAGCATCTAACCTTGGAAAATGGAAATCGTGCCATAGAGAAGTGTCTTGTTGAAGAGGAGATAAGGGGAAATCATTGCCACGCGATCACTTTAATTTTAAAAATTCCCACACACAACACTTTTTTACTTTACATTTTATTTTTTAAATATATATAACTATTTTTGTGAATAAAATTTGAATTATTATAAAATATTCATCCATTTATGCAACTGCGTGGAATTTAAATAATTTGTTATATTATTTATAGTATTGTTTACTATAAAATTTATATTTTATATTAAAGATGCTTAACATGAATATAATTTCATCTTATGAATATTATTCTAACTTGAGAAATAATATGGTTTAATTTGTGTTCGGGAGCTGATTTTTGTTACCTTGTTTTCTAATTTCTATAATATCCTTTCATGCATGTATTAATTCGGCATAAGATCCATATAATTTGTCATGTTTTAAACACATTTGAATTTATATATTTACCAAATTTAGCATGCAAAGGATACTATAGAATATGTATTTACTAATCTTTAGTTGAAATCTTTGACAGTTGTCAACTTTGAAGAGAAACATTTACCGAGCCTGAACAACATTACACCTTTCTTTCCGTTGACAAACTCTCATAAATGGTGCAATGGACAGACAAATTCTTCTGATATTTATTCTTAGATGGTGAACACAGTCTGCACATTTGAGGTTATAATAGTTGGTTCATTGATCAAAAAGATATGGTTGCATAGGGGAAGAAATCACATTCCCTGCTTACTAATTGATAGTGATTGGAGTCACAAATCATCAATGAGATCATTACCAGCTCTAATTGCTTAGCGAAGTATCAGGTACCTTTTCTAGCACAAGAATTTCAAATCCTAAAACTTTTGTGCACTCTGTATTTGAATGAAGCTTTTTTGGTTCTTGATTCTTCAATTTTCTATGTCATTTGATAATTTGGGAAACTTCCTTTTTGTGGCTAGCAAAAGGGTGGAAAAGCATGCCGGTGCACTGCAATAGATTACCCACATGCTTAAAGGTGACTTCCCTTTTATTTTTTTTTTTACCTGAATGTCGATTTGCACACACACACATATATATTGGTTCATAATAATTTTGAATTCAAAAAGATGTGGGCTGAAGACATATGACATACATTTTTGTTGAACAAAGCCAAATTGCAATCTAGTTTTTCCCTATTTTAGTTAAAATGTTTTGGGGAAAATACAACCATTGGTTCTATACTTTTTATGTGTTTTGGTATTAGTCTCTATAATTTTTTTCATTGTTTTGAGTCCCTTAAATTTCATTGTTAGTCTTTATTGTTACATAATATCCAACTTATCATAGCTTTATCAAGTTAGCACTGTATTTAATGGGGTTATGTACGGTGTCAGCATAGTTAATTCCATTAGTGACAATAAGAACTAATGTTGCAAAAGATTGAGACTTTAAAGATTCGAAACAATGAAAAAAAAATTATAGAGACTAATATTAAAACAAGCTAAAAGTATAGGAAACAGAAATTGTATTTTCACAGTTTTTTAATATTTAATCCTGTTTTTGGAGATGTTAACTGATCATTTACTGTTTCATTCTTGTGTACATAAGTGCAGGGGACAAATGCAAAATAGCAAAATATGACATTTCTTATCTGTCATGTTATATAAAACAAGTAATCTTTTTGCAATAAGTCCATATTTCTTGGTAAACGCTCAAAACCAGAGAAAGGGGAAGAACATGAATAGAGCCCTGATCTTCTCTCTGAAGGATGACAGTTTTATTGTCAAGGCAAGGAAGCTGAGCAGCAAAACTGGACTGCCTAGTGATGAAATCTCAAAAGGGTAGAAGCCAATATCAAAAGCCACCAATGGTATGAAATTATGAAGGCTAGGAGGTTGGTGATAGAATTCAAGCTCTCCAACAACATGAAATCCATCCACCACAGCAACTTCTATGAGGCTTTTTCTCCAATTGACAAAGTACGTTCAAAGCTGTCAAAATCTGTGTTCTTATTGAATCTTGACTATCTCTGAGATTTTCTTATTCTTGTATTGTCATTTTATTGTTTTCAAACACTTCTTTTTCTATGGTTACAAAGAGGAATCAAAAGGTTTCATTCTTGGGCATCAACTTCCCTTCTTGTTGGAATATAAAAAAAAAAAAGTAAATACAGTTGTTTTAGTTTGCCTTTAGATCAAGTTGTAAACATGGATTGTGCCTATTTTGGGTTACTGGGCTTACTGTTATAGCACGCCCCATGCTAAAAGATCTTGTTCTTTCCATGTAGCATGCATGATAGAAGAATATGCAATGTGCTTCCTTGCTTTTCAAGGTTCTCTTTTGCAGGATTTTCTAGTGGCTATATGTATATATATGTGATAACGATACGACATCATACAGATGTGCTTATAAAGGCTTGTAAGTTCAATAAGCTTGACTATCGATATGGAAATTCCAATTGGGTTATTTGTCCAGAGAGATGGAACCTCTTGGAAGGTCTAGGATATGGCGGTTTTTCATGACGTTGTGTATGTTATTTTGCTAAAATAGGAACAGTGATATTGAGTTTTGAAATCTGAAATTTCTGCATCTTAATTATTAACAATAGTTTCGTTCAAGCTCAAAATTCAAAACATTGGTATGCTTCTTCGGTCTACCAGGTGATTCTGCCATGGACCTCAACATTTTCCTGTATTTTGTTTAATCTTCATTAATGCTTAAGAATCGAGAAAAATTAACAATTATATTTCAGGAATTTCATGACTAGAAGAAAATTAGGGACCAAATTCAGTTAAAGATAGAATGTGATCATATATCAAAGCTAACTACTTAGGTTTCTACCAAGTAACTTTTTGAAAACTGGAAACTTCAGCAAATTGTCCACAGCAAAGATGCTACTATGATGGTTGCTGCATGCACAGAATTAAACCAATTAAATATCCAATAGAAGCAAGAATATGCTTCAATTTTTTTTAAAAAAAAAGAGGTTAAATGGCTTTTTTTTTTCCTAAACTATTTTCTCAGAGAACCTAGTATTCTAAATTTTCATGTAGTGTAATGTCTCTTTTCACTTTTAAATTTAGGATTGGAATGACTAAAATTAAAACATTCTTGTCCAACAACTTCAATTAATCCCATTGGCCTCAATGCTGGCATCTTAACCATCAACCTCCATACGTTTCGACAAACAAAAAGTAGTGATGAGTCATCTAACCTCCCACCATATGCTACACTGTTCCATCTTCACCTTAGGAATCGTGAAAACCAACTGTTCAACCAAAGTAAGCTTGAAAAAATTTTAGGTTTGGGTTTGAGAATTGGAAAAAAAAAAATGAACCATTTGAATAAGCCTAAAAAAATTCAAACGAAACTCAAATTTAAATAGGCTTAAGCTGAATACTCAAATTTTTTTATTCTTAATAAAATAAAATTAAAATAAGTTAAAAATTAAAAATATTAATTTTTAATATAAAAATTGAAATTGGATTAAAAAAGAAAATATAAAATAAAATAATATTTAATAATTCTGATATTCAAGCCAACCCGAAAGATCAAGATGTTAAAATCAAGTTTTGTTATGTGAATTTTTTTATGTGTTTTGATATTTTAAATTAATTTAAATAAGTCCTGCCTGAATTGAAGCTAACTTGCTCGAAATATTAGTTTTGCTTTAATTCTTTAATAAGGAATGTCATTTTCATGTGTTCTCTTCACATTTTGAATCACAATAATCTCCTGTCTATTGATCAAGATATGAGATTATAGGGGAAGCAAGAATTCACATTCTTTGAATTGAAGTAATCTTATCTTCAATGCAATCAATGAAAAACCATATAAAAATGAAATTCATTTATACCTAACATGAACCCTATTTTTCAGTACTTTGATCAAACAGCTATAAGACATTAAAATTGAATGCGACAAAGAGAAATTTGTTGTAATTCCTACTCTTGGGTATGGAATCTTAGTATCCAATTATGGATTGAAGTCTCATGTGCCAACCTTTGTTAATATAAAAGGGAAAACTTTAATTAACAATCGCGAGAATCATTAAATTAATATAATATCCTTACTCTTTAATACTAATAGAGCTTCGCAGTTAGCCCAAGCCCAAGGCCAGTTTAAGTCGGAAAGTCTCAATCAACACATTATGTTCATGTTCCTTTGACTAGCAAGTTTAGAAGAATCCAGGACCGAAGAACAGAGGCATAGCGATTCAGATTTCTGGAGGTGTGTTTGTTTGCTCCTTTGAGCTAAAAGTAGCAGATTTTTCTTATCCGAGTCTGCCGTTCTGCTTCAAATCCTCAGCTTGTTCATCGATTTGTACCTTTGTTGGCTCTTGTCTCTGATTCTGATTCTGATTCTAATTCTAATTTACGGGGCTTATAATCTGTCTGTCTTCGTGTCCCTATTTTGCTTGGATTCTCTCCCCGCACATTATTATTTCAATATCAAAATTGGCCTTTCTTCATGATTCTGGATTACGGTGGAGTGAATCCATCTGGATAATCTATGAATTGTTCAGTAAGCTGATTCTGGAATCCTTGGTCATGATATCTAGATTGGACTGTAAATTTTTGTTCGAGGTCTGTGCTTCTTTTAATATATCCTCGAGTAATATCAACTGAAGGAAATAATTAAGTTTCTGCTTTTGGGGAAAATATCTGAGTTTGGTGTGAACAAACATAAAGTCAAACTCATTTGCGTGTCATTTTCATTTGCCATATTGTAGCAATTGTTAACTTCAAAATTGGTTGTTGCAGATATATTCTTCTGTTGACAAACCACCATTAAGTAGTATCACTCAAAGTAAAGAAAGAAAATATGGATGATGGAGACATTGAGCTTTC